TACAGCTGAATGATTGTGAAGCATTATAATACCAAAACAAACTCAAATTCGTTTTTTCACAACTAGGTATATTTTGGAAACTACTCTAAAATTGTTGATGTTGAAGAGTGCATAGGGAATTATATTGTTAGAGCTTTTTTCCAAAATACCTGTAGCTATGATAAAACAAAGTTGAGTTTCTTTGCTTTGGTAATACTTTTTTGAACTGAATTGTATTATTCTCTATTACCCTACCCCACTTTTCGAAAAAAAAGTTTCATTCCTGATATTATTGCTCTTTTTCAAAACTAAAAAATATAAATACCTGTGATGTATTATTTGCTCTCCAATGATGAAGATTTAGAAAAATAGGGTGTCCACTTCCTGGAAAGTCAGAAACGCCTAGTGTTTCCAATGCTGTTTGTACGTGTATGATAGTTTTGTCTGTGTTTGTGGTGTCAGCGCAGCACAACTTGTGCTTCTTGCGAGGGTGAAGATCGGTTATCCTCATCATGTGTGTATAGTGTGTGTATGCTGTTAGTGACAAATAAAAGAATGAACTCTTGAGAGTCTCAGGGGTAGTTATTAGTATACCTACGTTCGATTTGAAATATTCATATTGCCAAATATTCTGGGGGATACCTATAGCACTGGTCTTAAGGTTCCTGAGTGTAGCTGGAATAAGCCAGGTAAATTACATGAATTATTTTCCAGCGTAAGTGGTCCGGAAAAATGGGAATAATTTTCAGAGTTAACAAAATTTTTTCTCATCAATAGTGAACACCCTGTAAAATTTTAAAAATTAAAAATTAATTTTAAACATTTTAGTTGAGATACAGAGTGTTCGCACATTACATGTCATACATAGTATACAGTACTTTTAAATTATTTATTTGCAAATGTATTGCAATTACAAAATTTAGATGCAAACAGACTTGGAGTATATTCCGTAAATAATGCAGTACATAAAAACCCTGTGTAAATACAATACTTTACTGATATAATTTTAACTGGTCGTTTATTATCAAATATTTACAATATTAATATGCAATATCAATAATTAATTGTTCAGATTTTCAACAACGTATTACTACAATTATTGGTAAATATCATAGAAAAATACACAGATATTTATGCCCTTATTATTGCTTTCCTTTTCTTGTATAAAAAATCGACGGAATCATTAAGACACATCAAGGTACATTACAAAAGTGTCTGCAGTTCTACTTAGAGAATATGTCAATTAAATACCTAAAACTTACCGAATAATATAACAATAAATGTTAAACAAATACTTTGGTTTATTAGTTAAGAACACAGAAGTTGAGAAAAAAGCACTTAATTAAATTCAATTAAAATATAAAACGAGAACAATTCATTTTAAAAATCCCAACATGGGAGCAGTGTGTGCTTACCATTGATTCAACCGTTTAATGTTTTAATAAGTAAAAAATGATTATAGGAAAAGTTGGGCGGTAAGTTGTCTGACGAAGAAAAGACGAAAATGGAAGAAGCGATTGACGAGAAGATCAAATGGTTGGAAGAAAATCAAGACACAGATTCAGA